TTAAAGGTGTATAGTACTTTTCTATCGTCCTTCAGTGACTCAGTGATATAAATATTAAAGGTGTATATTACTTTTCTATCGTCCTTCAGTGACTCAGTGATATAAATATTAAAGGTGTATATTACTTTTCTATCGTCCCTCAGTGACTCAGTGATATAAATATTCAAGCTGTATAGTACTTTTTATCCCCCCTTAGTGACTCAGTGATATAAATATTAAGATGTATAGTACTTTTTATCACCCCCCAGTAGCTCAGTGATATAATTATTCATGACTCAGTGTAAGTCTCGGGACTTATGACGTTAAAATCGTGTTTAACAACGAACAAAAATTCGATGACGATGAACCCACTTTGAGACTAATAATGGCTGGAGACGGCTTGAATCTGTTCAGATGTCTCACTTTGAAGTTGTGGCCCTGCTGAGTATAGTGTAATGTTTCTTTAAACCATACGATCCAGACATAATGAAACAAGTACCCGAGGGCGAAGAGAATATCTAATTTATTTGCCATTAAAAATAATGCATCTCTTATCATCGTATACATACAATGTTAACTTCTATTACCTGGATTTGATTGGCTAAGTATATTCATTTCAATCCCTGTCGCATTAATCCACATTATATTTCTGAGAAATAAATAATCCGGATCTTATGATTCGAAAGTTATTTAACATATTCTTCGAATCGCGGTGTGTTTGCTTACTTTGAAAAATCTCGTGCCTAGAGGCGTTTCTAAAAATCAAGTAACAGCAGGGGATAAAAAGTTGAAAGTCCGGCGAGTATCCTGCCAAATACCAGAATTAAATAAAATTACCAAAGAAAAACATACACAGAAGTCTTGCACAACGTGTCACAAGAAAGTCACTGTTTTTTGGTATTATAAATCACAATGACTACATCATCTCTCGACAAAAACCAAAGTTAAGAACTAAAAAAATTTCCACAAAGCCCGTTTTATCTCTTTTCCTCCTATCGGGAATCCCCCTCTGACCTTTTAACAATCTGTGAAGGTAGAATTCTGTCCTATTAGATACACAGTGGTTAATGTTGGTAACATGCTTCGATATAGATACTTGTGAAGTTCGAGCGTTTTCCGCTAAGCGGCAGCACTCAGTCAGTAAAGCAATTACGCAGTGAAGAAAAAGGTTTAAAAAAAACTCATTTACGGTTTACTAAACAGTCTTTCTTAATTTGACTTTAATTTAAACGATACCTTTGCCTATCCTCACGTGCATATATGTATTTCCGTAACTAACTCGGCGATGTAAGCATTTATCAGGATTATGGCCGAAAAACACGTGATTAGTAGCAGGCATATTTAGATGATGAATTACAAAAAGTTAATTATATTTTCTGTAGATCAACATTATTAATAGCATGAAGGTCGTCACTAATGTTAAATCTTAATAACTAACTTTGTATAAATTTAGATGTGAGAGCTTAGATTCCAAAGAAGCCTGGAGGTTAGCAGGGATTTCTGGAGTTTACTTACGGATTCTTCTTGAACCTACCTACAGCAGGCTTTTCATTCTAGTTAGTCTGAAGCTTACCCACATTGAACTGTGCATTCTGAGGAACGCTAGAGTTTATAGTAGACAGTGGATTTGGGAGATATCCTGGAATAAAAAAGGGGGTTTTGGGGAACCTGAAAATGAATTTGCCTGCAGTAGGTTGTAGAATTAAACAAATAAAACACAAAACAGTAATCATGAGAAGAAACTACAGCAAGAAAACACAACAACAACAACAACAAAAGTAAAATCAGTAATACGAACATATTGAAAAATGCATAGTTTAAATGAAGAATACATGTAGAATGTAGTGAAGATTCACTGTCATAACATTCCTGAAAAGACACGATAGGAATGATGTTTTCATCTGATCAGATTCACTGTCATAACATTCCTGAAAAGACACGATAGGAATGATGTTTTCATCTGATCAGATTCACTGTAATAACATTCCTGAAAATGACACGATAGAAATGATGTTTTCCTCTGATCAGATTCACTGTCATAACATTCCTGAAAAAGACACGATAGAAATGATGTTTTCATCTGATCAGATTCACTGCCATAATCCTCTTGAAGAAACACCATGGAAATGATGTTTTCATCTGATTAGATTCACTGTCATAACATTCCTGAAAAAGACACGATAGAAATGATGTTTTCATCTGATCAGAATCACTGCCATAATCCTCTTGAAAAAACACCATGGAAATGATGTTTTCATCTGATCAGATCCACTGCCATAACTCTCTTGAAAAAACACCATGGAAATGATGTTTTCATCTGATCAGATTCATTGCCACAACTCTCTTGAAGAAACACCATGTAAATGATGTTTTCATCTGATCAGATTCACTGCCATAACTCTCTTGAATAAACACCATGTAAATGATGTTTTCATCTGATCAGATTCACTGCCATAATTCTCTTGAAGAAACACCATGGAAATGTTAAATGTCAAGTTAAAGTCAAAAATGTAAACCAAATTAGATCTTAGATAATGGACAACAAATTCAGCAGAACTGTTGAAGCAGAAAAACAGACTACATCAAACCTTCTAATTGGTCCTGTAAAATGTACCTTCAATTCTGATTGGTCCTGTAAGGTGTACCTTCAATTCTTATTGGTCCTGTAAGATGTACCTTCAATTCTGATTGGTCCTGTAAGGTGTACTTTCAATTCTGAAGGGCTATTCCCAAATTTAGAACTGATAAATTAGAGGACCAGCTAATCAACGGCCAATTCTTGGGCTACTTTTCTCTGATCAAATAGTTGGATTTGCCCATCACCTTTATTGCGCACCCACAGCCCGAAAGTGAGCGTCATCTCAATTACGTCACGTGATACGACGGAAATTACCACACGTGCGTTTATTGGCTGAATTTCACTTGCGTGTTTCAGGCGTGTTCTTTTCTTCTGAAAGCTACTGTCTTTCTATTTCATGCGTTGTTCACATTCTTCATTTACCTTTTAAACACGAAGTAATCGCAGGAAAAGCTCCTAAGACAGAGTTTATTTTAGAGTCTCTAGCTGCTGACAGGTCTTTAGCATCCGAGGGTTATGTTTGTTTCTTTGTTTTGAATTTCGCGCAAAGCTACACGAGGACTATCTGGGCTAGCCGTCCCTAATTTAGCAGTGTAAGACTAGAGGGAAGGCAGCTAATCATCAACACCCACCGCCAACTCTTTTACCAACGAATAGTGGGATTGACCGTCACGTTATAACGCCCCTACGGCTGAAAGGGCGAGCATGTTTGGTGTGACGGGGATTCGAACCCGCGACCCGCAGATTGCAGGTCGAGCACCCTAACCACCTGGCCATGCCGGGCCCCGAGGGTTATGCTTTATACGTTTAGACTAGTCCCGACACCCTAAGGATTTTCTTGGTCCGATGATAAGTCAAATTCATAAGGTGTATTAGCCACATTATTCTGGAACTTTCTGAAATACCACACAATATTCCCTAAGCAAATAATACATTTTCCTCTTAAAGTTTAAAAAAAGGAATATATATATAAACAACAACTCTACGTATATATAAATGCAAATCACACACCGGATATTCAGGTGTGGCCTAGTGGTCCAGAGTGCCCGGACTGTAAATCTGAGTATTCACAGTTTGCGAACAATAACGGGGTATGGGTGGAGGTGTAAATTTGAGCAATCAAAGTGAAATAAATTACAAATTAGATAAAACGATTAATAACATGACACGTATTTTAGTAACATTTGATGCGTGTGTGGAAATTCCAAACAAAACGTATGCCACGTGACACAACCTGCGATATTATCTAAATTCCCGGTAATGTATCGATGAAGATCTCCATAAGCACCGGATCACCCTATTTTATAAATAATCACGTGTGCCATATGCGTTTACCTTTCGTGCCACTTGCGACACGTGCGCCTCGGTTTGGCCACCTCTGCCCTAAATTGTAGAAACTCCTGTACAGTTATAAGTTAATTGAATTTCTAAGTTTGAAGATATAAGTTATTGTGCAGTTTGAGTTTCTTACACTTTTTTTATTATTTTGACGCTAAGATTCGTTTCATTTTAGGTAACGTCAGCTTTTCAGCGATGCTTTACGGAAGACTTGACAGCGACCTCTATTAAGAAAAACAATCAAATACGTCACGTGAAGAGATTAGTGACCACACTCTGTTTCCAATCGACTTTTGTTCCTCAATGGCTGGAGAAATATGACAAGGCACCTTTACCTCTAACAACGGTAAGTTTTTATTTTCGTGGAATATGTTTTCTTAGGCTTCTTATGTTTTTGTTTGGACTTAGAACGACGTTTGTGGCACTACGCCAAAGGCATAAAAAACGGTCTACTTGTCAAATACATTGTCTAAATACACTTTGAATGTAGTCTTTAATATATAATGTTACGCCTCTGATCGTTTGTTAATTTCCCGTATACTTTCTTTCGTATGAAATTTTAGCGATACAAGTCATTTCTTAAATAAAACTAGTTTATTCTTTCTCAATTCAACTTTGTAATACACTTAATTTCTCCAGTTACTTTAAACACACGCTATAATTCACAATGATTCACGCACTTACTTACGGTTACTACCGCGCTTGACTCAATTGTCGGTCTTTATCTCTGTCTGTCTGCAATTCAATATACAGGAATAGAGGGCGCCTAGCACATACTGGATTATTCGTGATGTTCCCCGATCCTTCTAGAATATTATGACGTGTTACCAGCCTCACGTGACTACCGCTGTCGTAACAATAAAAACAGACATCAGTGATAGTTGTTTTGGTGAAAGACATACACGTTAGATGAGCATAAGACTTAACAAAAAATTCCGAATTAAATCTTCTCATTATTTAGAATGAAACGATAGTATAAATGAACGTTCAGACGACTTAGAAATATTAATATATGTGATTTTTACAAAAAGCTAAGCTATTGTTGATTTCAGAAATTGTGAACAGTAACACAAAGACATTTATAAAGTTTCCCATTGGGTCAACTTTCACCACGACTGAACATCCACTAGCCCTAGAAAGATGTTTTGGTTCACTAATGTAATATCGAAGCTCGTCCCACAGATATTTAATGAGATTGAGATCCAGTGTTGGTCAAGGAAGATGATTCATGTGTTTGAAACATTTTCATACTTCTTGTGTGGAAGATATTATTGCATTAGAAGAATCCTTGTTCATCAAGGTCAGCATTTTTGGGTAAATGCAATTGGCTACAAAGTTCGAGTTCATTTTGTTATTATTCTTTACAGTGGAATCAAAGGACCCAATCCCTAGCATGATCATGTTTCCCACACCATTATACCACCTCCAGAAGCTATCTCTCTCTCGTAATAACAAGAAAAGCACCAATCTATATATATAATAGCCAAATGTCTGTCTGTCATGCTCTGTATGTCCTGGCCCCACAGTGGCACAGCGGTATGTCTGCAGACTTACAACGCTAGAAACCGGGTTTCAGTATCAGTGGTGGTCAGAAAAAATATAGAAAAAATTACATATGAAACTGCTTCTTTTCAAGAGTACATTCCAAGAAAATTATTCATTTTTTGCAATTCCTAAAATTTCATGTCAACATCGATCCTCCAGTCTTCGTATGTTCTGAAAGGTCAATCTGAGAAGAAAAACTTATTAAGGACAAAATTGTTTCTTTTCGACTGGTTAAAAGAAATACTTCGAAAATAGTAGCATGAACGAAAAAGAAATGAATAAAGAGAGAAACGTGTTTGACTATATGTATTTGTTATTCAGTTTATATTTTGTACCTAATTTTTCTATGTCGGTATTATATACATGCGCGAATTTATTGTACCATGTCGAATAAATTGACTTGACTTGAATTGAATATCTCCCCATTGACAACTGTCAAAAAACGCTCACTTCGGTAGCGTTCTTTTCTTGCGCTCAGTAAAATAACAAGGAATGGTTGCATCAAGTAGAGAAAAAAAACCTCCCAGTAACTACTTAGCGAACCTGAGCGCTCTATTGTGCTGGATCCACCCATTACGTCGGAACCCAAACATGTTTGCCAACAATGCATTGCAGTCAGTCTCCTTTGCTTAAAAACAAATTCAATGCATTTTTCCTCATTGAAGTAACACAGATAATGACAAAAAAACGATTCTAAACAGCCTACTAGACAATCATATTGCATTTGCGCTATGATCAAAAAGGGGTTGGGTTGACTGCACATTTTATATTTATTCACCATTGAATTGTTTCAACGGACATATGCTAGTGAATCAATAAGGTAATGTTTTCCTCTTTACTGAGTGTCATGTGGTAGTTTATGGTAATAGTACTGACTGTCAAGTGCTGGCAGTTGAAAAGATTGTTTAGTATTTGTTACACTTTAAAATCATTATTTTTCCCAGTCTGCCGCCATGTTTCAGTGGACACAGTTGTTTCAAGTGGCAGACATAATCCTTTTTTCATTGCGACTGTTATGTATGTTTGAAAGTCAAAGGGACCTTTGTTTTTACCAATTTCCTTGATAGGACTAAAGTTATAGAGCCAAAGACATATAAAATGATAAGTTTGTTTTGCATATGTAAATAGAATGTTTCATAAAAGTATGTGGGGCACTTATAAAGTTGCCAGTCAATCTAAGAAACGTTTCTCTGCCAGATAAAATTGTTATTCTTTTATAGTCGATCAGTTCTTGAGTACTACAAATTTAGCACCTAAGTTCCATGACGTCAAATGTCTAGTGAGAAGTCATCTATATTTCGTGCCTATAATTATTGTACCGTCTTTCACAATGTACTATGGCCAGGTGGTTAGGACGCTCGACTCGCAATCTGCGGGTCGCGGGTTCGCATCCCCATCCCACCAAACATGCTCGCCCTTTCAGCCGTGGGGGCGTTATAATGTGACGGTCAATCCCACCATTCGTTGGTAAAAGAATAGCCCAAGAGTTGGCGGTGGGTGGAGATGACTAGCTGCCTTCCCTCTAGTCTTACACTGCTAAATTAGGGACGGCTAGCGCAGATGGCCCTCGTGTAGCTTTGCGCGAAATTCAAAACAAACAAACAAACACAATGTACTGTAACTTTTCCTTCACTTTCCACAGGTTATTAGCCTAACAGCGTTGGGACGAATGGCATGTGTGATAAGAGAAATTCAACGCCCTCTGCTAGTGTGGGAATTGGCATTTTCGGTGAGATTTTTTCACATTTTTTCTTTATTATAAAATGTGCAATATTAATGAAAGTAACACTACACAATTTTCAACAGAGATAACACTTGTTTTAAAATACCTCAATCTTATTATAACATGATCAGGTTATGTAACAAAGAATGAAAATATTCACCATTAGAAATGTTGTAACTCAAGTCAAGTAGCTTGTAGGCTAACATTTGGGCTTCGATTCCTCGATATGAATACAGCACAGATAGCCTATTATGTAACGTTGCGCTTAAGTCTTCCAGTGGGTCAACGGTAAGCTTACATACCCACAGCGCTGATATCCGGGGTTCGATTCCCCGTGATGAACAGAGCGCAGATAACCCTTTGCGTATCTTTGCACTTAAAAATAATAATTAAAATATACATGCGCAAAAGCAGAGTTTTTTGTTTCTTTTAAAGACTAAAAAATAATAAATTTCTAACTATTAAATACGCGGGACATGGCTTAGAGTGGTTATCGTGCCAGGTTACAGGTCCAAGGTTTAAGACGTGATGCTGCTGAACATGCTTCACACTTTCAGCTGTGACGTCAGTCTTGCTTTTCTATATACATTATGGTAGATGCTACTGATTGGCAGTACTATCTCTGCCCCCTCCCCCAGTGGCACAGCAGACTTACAACGCTAGAAACCGGGTTTTGATACCTGTGGTGGGCAGAGTACTGATAGCCCATTGTGTAGCTGTGTTTAACTTCAAACAACCAAACAATTACTACCTCTGATCAGTAATCCAAAATCAGAGCCGATAGTACCAGCATCCCAGGGGTGTCTGATCTGGCAATTTATCCTTTGTGCGCATGCGTTCCCAGTGAAGTTGATTGTTCCTATTATTGAATAAAAAAATCCATTCACATAGTAAAAAAAATGTCACTTTCAATTATTGTACAAGCTCTTTAACGAAAATAACTTGGAAACGACAGTTCTTCCAATCATCATGAACTGACCGAGCTTATAAAACACCATAATCATGACGTAACAGAAAAGTTTATTTATGGTCAGAACATCAACGCTACTAGAGATAGAATTTGAAGGGCAAATTGTTGTTGAGGTCAGGCCTATGGAAGCTCCTTACTTTTTTTTTATTATTGATAATTCAATAATATGTGGCCTGTCACTGGGTTGTACTGGAGCTTCACAGCACAGGCAGTAAAGTCGTAAAACTGATACTCTACTGCCAGTTCTTATGTTCCTGGGGGAGTCGCATTTAACCCCTTCATTTTCCCACAGTAATAGGTTCGTTTATCTACGATCATATTCTGGGTGTAACCTAGTGGTTAGCTTTGATCGTGAATTCGATAGTTTATGGTTCGTGGCCCATCAAAGTTTTTAAAATGGTCTAACCTTAGTGTGTTGAATAGCATTATAAGTTTATTTATTGATAGTATTAAGTCTGGTAAACTAAACTAAAGCAAAATAACATACACAAGTTACGGTGTTAATTTATCTATTTATCGAATATAGGCCGTACTTAATAAAGGCTTAACTAATGTTAGGCCTAAGACAAGTGGACTTATAGATTAGAATTATTTTGTATTAGTTTAGAAACTGTATATTTAAAGAATTACTGTTGCAATAAAGATACTAATTTGACCACAAGCGTTTTGTGAGTCTCTGCTGGTTTGATAATAATATATTACTACCATTCCTGTTAATCTGAATGTTCATTTGTGTTTTTACAGAAATGTTTACATGATGAGGACTCACAAAAATTGCAAAATTCCGGTAAGTAACGGTCTCAAGAAGGTATTTATAAAGTTTCCGATTAGGCCTAGTAAAGTAGTTATTTTGTAATATCTAATTGATTCATCTTTTAAACAAATGTAACAAATTGCTACACATGGTTGATACAGATTGGATATTTTGTTGTATGACTTTTCTATCTACACGTAGTTAACTAATTTAAGGTAAACATATTTGGATAAAACTGTTAATAAAAAGCCATTAGACATTTCGCTGTGTAGGGTAATAAGGAAAGTCTTTAAAAAATGTAAACAACGACGCTCTCTATAACACAGCTCGTCAATTTTATTTGTTTGTTACCCACCAAGGGTATCGAAACCCGGTTTTTAACGTTATAAGCCTTCAGACTTACTGCTGCGCCATTAGGGGAGGGGACTCATTAGAACGTTATAGTTGTAAATTGGGTATCATTTTTTATGCATTAGTATGAGGACTATGACAACATTCATTTTCATTTTAAGGTCAGTAAATTTAGATTGTTTTGAAATTTTTATACTTTATTCCCATGTTTTATGAAATAACCTAAGATTCCATTAGTGAATTAAATCGATCAGGAGAAACATTATAAATAGAGACCATTCCATAAAATAATGGTCAGAAACAAAACTTTGAAACTAACTTTAGTTTTTCCGATATTCGCACATAGTTACACAAGGGCTCTCTAAACTACCCGTCCCTAATTTGAATTGATAGACTAGAGAAAAAGTAGCTAGTCCGCCAAAACTTTGGCTACTCTAATCGAATAATAGAACTTCACATCACTTATAACGCATCTACGGCCAGAAAGTGCAAAGCATGATTTTGTAACAACGGGACGCGAACCGTGAACCCTCACATTTGCAGTCCGGTCCACTAACTTAAACCTAGAATTTCAAATGCTAATATTTCCTAATGCAGCTCAGTTCAGACCTAAATACATTCTATTAATATTCTTGTTAATATTTCCTAATACAGCTCAGTTTAGACCTAAATACATTCTATTAATATTATTGTTAATATTTCCTAATGCAGCTCAGTTTAGACCTAAATACATTCTATTAATATTATTGTTAATATTTCCTAATACAGCGCAGTTTAGACCTAAATTAATATTTCCTAATGCAGCTCAGTTTAAACCAAAATACATTCTATTAATATTATTAATTTTAATTGCAATGTTTAGATGTTATTCGTGTCATATTAAACTTAAAGGGTATACAATTCCTCCAAATCTGTTTCGTACTGTTACGACAGCAAAAGGCACGTGACGCTGGAAACACCTCATGAGTTTCTAGAAGGATCATGACTGCTCTTGGCAACTCTAGTGTTTGCCAGACGCCCTCCATTTTTGTATATAATCCCGGCAAATAAAGCGAAGGTAAAGTGACGGCATATATAATCGCAGATAGCAATTGAAGGGAGATATAGAGACAGATAATTGAGTCAAGTGATCGGTAGTGACCGCAAGTAAAGTGCGTGAATCGTTGTGAATTATAGCGTGTGTTTAAGTTAAAGTGACCGTGGAAATCCTGTGTATTGCAAAGTTGTATTGAGAAAGAATAAACTAGTTTTATTTAAGAAATGACTTGTATCGCTGAAGTTCCTCGGGAAGAATTTTTACGGGAAATTAACAAACGACCAGAGACGTAACAGTACGTTTCAATACGAACATTACTTTATCAACTAAAACGTATACGTAGTCGTGTTAGTTTAACATCTTAAATTTAAGATTTCTGCTAACGTTTTAGGTAAGAGTATCATTATGGATTATTATACAGGTAATACAATCGCCTAAGCTATAATTACTACATTGTTGAAGCACTTGATTACATAATTAAACCTGTTGACACTTAACGAGTAGTACGAATACAAACCATAGTGTAAACACGTGTTGACCCCTCACAATGAAACTGTTTCTTACAATGACAGTTGGAGAAAAGACACGTTCATTATGAATATAATCAGGTTCTGCTTGATATCCGAGATATAAGAAGTGTTTTGTTTGTTTTATCAGGATGGTTACAAACTTGTTTCACATGAGAGGTGTCGTTCAGTGTCGGAAGCTTCAAAGATTATAGACAGAGTGATTCAACAGAATATGCAGTATAGAAACATAAAAAAAAGTGGATGACAGAATGCGCAGTGCACAGACATAAAAAAATTGGATGACGGAATGCGTATTGTATACACACAAAAAATGGACGACTACAATTGGTAGATTTAAATGTCGCTATCTAGTATTTTTGGTGTTGATTTAAATATAACTTCAACATTCGTTAAATTTACTTTATTGTAATTAATGCATAATTCAAATATTGATCAATGTTGTAAACTACGTGTATTTGTTGTCATTTTAGGTATTTCTGTAGTTTTTAATTTGTTATGTATGTAAAGATGGATGGGTATTATTTTATTAATCATAGTTATAAATTATCGAACTGTTTCTGTATTTACTTGTTTTCCAGTAACATTGATAATTGTTGTTGTTTTTCTTTCAGGACCACAGCTGATCCAATGAAAAATGTTCCTCTCTTTTCAACTATTTCTTTTTTTTAGTAAAACACCAGTAGCATATGAATAAATATAACGATAAAAGTCATAAGGTTTCGTTTTTAAAGAATCGCCTCGAAATTCTGGGCACGACGATTTTCAGCTTATTTTTCGTAAGCTCGTTAGAACAATCACATGAGCATAATTTTGTTCTCAAGTTTCAAAATACAGTCACATATTTGATGTACCTATCGTGCAAGTTATCGAAATTTTATCTTGCACTTTTTATCTTTTTTTTTAAGAATGTCTACTCATACAACTGTTACAAGCTGACAGTAACTTTGGTGAATAATGAAATTAATTTGTACATTACAACTGTGTATGCAAATAAACGTTCTTGTTCAAACTCAGGTAAACCTCTGCTTATCAAGTGTACACCACATAAAATGAAGTGAAGGTAAAACATAAAATGACAGTAACAACAATGTATATTAGTAAGAACTGCTCAATTTATTTTTGCAATGCGTAATTCTAAAATTGAAGATATAACCCATAAGAATTAGTCATGATTCTATTACCTACATTGTAAAATGTCAAATATGAAGCTCGGATGCAGTGTACCCTTGTCAGCTTCCAACAAAACCAGACAGATACTTCTTGAACACGGACTGTCAGTTTATAGTTATCATCAGTGTACAGAAGAACACTGGAGACAAGGAGCTACTAACATCCATGAAAAAAAAGACTTGAATTTTTTTTTTACACAACATATAATGTGATTTGCTGATGTTTTCACCTTCAATAATACTCCGTTTTTTTATTTATTAATTTACGATCTTATTGTAAGATTACTTCTACAACCAGGCCTAATAACCTTCACGTCCGCTATTTTCATAAAATATTAGTGCCACCTACAATGGATTACGTTTTTCAATATATCAGTGTCTAAGACTGTAAGGGATGCAGCAAGTAGGCTTGGGTGAGGGTGTACATATATATCTATATACACAAATATATAGTTTTACTAGCTACAACCCTTGTTAATCATTATTTTTCATAAGCCGAAAACTTATTTTCGCTCATATTTCAGCAATCTTTCGTATGCGTTCCGCACAGTTACACCTACATATACAGTTTATTCGGTATATAGTTTATATTACCAATAGAAAGCAGTCTGTACGTTTGTTTGTAATTAAGCACAAAACTACACAATGGGCTATCTGTGCTCTGCCCACCACGGGTATCGAAACCCGGATTCTAGCACTGTAAGCCCTCAGACATACCACTGGGGGGCAGCAGAGACATGTGAAGGGATTGTCATGCCTTAGTGGTTAGGGCACTCGATTCGCAATCCTACAAAATCATTGTGATGATGAACAAGTAATTATATTTTCGAAACATACACGTTTAATGCATTTTATGCATCATTAACAAGATCTAGACTCAAACGTGTTTCGTTTTGCGAAAGGATTGTTCAGATAGTGTCTAACGTGTTTCGTCTTGTGAAAGGATTATTCAGATAGTGTCTAACGTGTTTCGTTTTGTGAAAGGATTGTTCAGATTGCGTCTAAGTGAAAAATGTACAAATTAAAGTGGTCTTCTTATTTCACTCGCATGATTTAAAGGTCAGCGATTGAATAACAACCTTATTGCCGATTGTCTACCACTTTGACATGAAAAAAACGTGCCGACCACGAACGAATGATTTATTACCAATGTTTATGTTTCAAGTGAACTAGTTCATTTGTATTAGGGGTTTTCGTTCTTCTCCACCCCTTCCTTGCCGCCATTACTCACAGAATCTTTGAAAAATCTATGATTTCATTATTTTAAGCTGTATAAAGTTATTCAATACGAGGTAACAGTAATAAATACCGTGAAATATAAAATCGCAAAACTTAGTTATTGTAGTTGAGAAACATTTCCCGCGTTAACTTTGATTAATGGCGGGAAATTTCAGCACTACTTTACGATCCTCTTGCTAACCGAATGATGTCATTTCTAACTGCCTAGAGAAATTGTAAGTCTGGATTTTGCTCTGGAATGTGATTAATCTCAATATATGCAAAAAAGCTTGGGAAAAAAAGGAATCATGAAAGCTCCAAACCCCACGCCAATTCAATGTTGAATAATGCCCTCAATCGCAAAGGTAATGATAGTTACAAAATGGAATTCTAGCTTGAAAAAAAAAAGTCATTATGATGAAAAATAGAGCATATATCCCTAACATCTACTGACAAAACTGTATGTTGTCTGATACTCTCGCCATCTGTATGTTTATACCCACATTAACACTTTTAAAACTAAAAAAAAAGCATCAACAGCAAATACATATATATAATCAACATCTTTACATACTATTTTTATCTAACGCAAAATCACAGATTTTTTAAAAAAATTAATCTAAATTACATTATTACTGTTATACGTACTTTATTTTGAAAAGACTAGCTGTGGAGCTTTGAAGTTGTATCCACGATTTATATTTAGCCAGTTGAACACTAACATTTTAATTTTTAAAAATATATTTCTATAAAGAAATTCACAAGAAAGTGACTCTCAAAAATGCCAGCCTAATAAGATTAATAATAGATTATAATTAATTTGTTTTTAAGAATTCTATGAAACTTACCGTTATACTATTCATTGTATATCCTCTAAAAAGTTACAAACAGAACTGTCGAAATAATTCTTGCATTCCAAAACTACAAATAGAAAATAGAAAAATCATTCAACAGGTTTGGGTATAAATGTACAGATGATTGGAAACCACACAACCTACAGTTTTGTACAAATGATTGGAGAGTCACATACCTACAGTTTTTCATAGATGATTGGAAAGTCATAAAACCCACAGTTTTGCACAGATGATTGGAGGGTCACACAACCCACAGTTTTGTACAGATGATTGTAGTCACAAAACCCAGTTTTGTATAGATGATTGGAGGGTCACACAACCCACAGTTTTGTACAGATGATTGGAGTCACAAAACCCAGTTTTGTATAGATGATTGGAGGGTCACACAACCCACAGTT